ACCAAAACAGATGTATAGACCAATGGAACAGAACAGAGGCCTCAGGAATAATGCCACACATCTACAACTGTCTGATCTTTGACAAACCTGACAAAAGCAAGCAATGTGGAAAGGATTCCCTATTTAATAAATAGTGTTGGGAAAACTGGCTAGCCATATGCAGAAAACTGAAACTGGACCCCTTCCCCATACCTTATACAAAAAAAATTAACTTAAGATGGATTAAAGACTTAAACATAAGACCTAAAACCATAAAAATCCTAGAAGAAAACCTAGGCAATGCCATTCAAGACGTAGACATGGGTAAAGACTTTGTGACTAAAACAGCAAAAGCAATGGCAACAAAAGCCAAAATTGGCAAATGGATCTAATTAAAGTAAAGAGCATCAACGAAAGAAACTACCATCAGAGTGAACAGGCAACCTATAGACTGGGAGAAAATTTTTGCAATCTGTTCATCTGACAAAGGACAGTATCTACAAGGAACTTAAATTTACAAGAAAAAAACCAACCCCATCAAAAAGTGGCTGAAGGATATGAACAGACACTTCTCAAAAGAAGACATCTATGTGGCCAACAAACGTATGAAAAAAAGCTCATCACTGGTCATTAGAGAAATGCAAGTCAAAACTACAATGAGATACCATTTGGCACCAGTTAGAATCATGATTATTAAAAACTCAGGAAACAAAAGATGCTGGAGACGATGTGGAGAAATAGGAACGCTTTTACACTGTTGGTGGGAGTGTAAATGAGTTCAGGCATTGTGGAAGACAGTGTGAAAATTCCTCAAGGATCTCGAACCAGAAATACCATATGACCCAGCAATCCCATTCCTGCGTATGTACCCAAAGGATTATAAATCATTCTGCTATAAAGACACATGTACACGTATGTTCATTGCAGCACTATTCACAATAGCAAAGACTTGGAACCAACCCAAATGCCCATCAGTGATAGACTGGACAAAGAAAATGTGGCACTTATAAACCATGAAATACTATGCAGCCATAAAAAAGGATGACTTCATGTCCTTTGCAGGGATGTGGATGAAGCTAGAAACCGTCATTCTCAGGAATGATGGTTAGTTAGCAAACTAACACAGGAACAGAAAACCAAACACCGCACGTTCTCACTCATAAGTGAGAGTTGAACAATAAGAACACATGGACACAGGGAGGGGAACATCACACACCAGGGCCTGTTGGAGGGTGGGGGGCTAGGGGAGGAATAGCATTAGGAGAAATACCTAATGTAGGTGACAGCTTGATGGGTGCAGCAAACCACCATGGCACGTGTATACCTATGTAACAAACCTGCACGTCTTCTACACATGTATCCCAGAACTTAAAGTATAATAAAAATAAAAATAACCTTTTCTAGTTTGTCACCACATTGGTGGACAGCTGGTCCTGGGGCACTGGGGTGCACGTGATGAGTGGCGTGGCTGAAGCTAATGCATTCATGACTCCTGATCTGCAGGTGCATGCGTGTCCCTTGTTCATACTCCTCGTCTCACCCTAGGCAGTGCTGCACAGCTCATTGGCTTTACAGTCAGACAAGCCTCCAGTCCTGTGTCTGGCTCTCACCAGCTTGGTCCTAATGTATCAATAATTCTACCCACCTGAGCCTCACTTTCCTGTAATTGACTGCAGTGAGTTCCTAGGCATATGGCACCTAAGTAGTCAGTAGATCACCTTAGAAGGATTTCAGGACTCTGGGTCTCAGTCCATCTGTGAAAATTAGGATGGTAGGAACCTTTCTGAGACACACCTTTAAAATTAGTTATATGTGTCACAGTCACAGCTCCCAGTTTTGAAGACCAGCAACAGAACAATACTTTCAAGGCTCCGTGTAACCTTTATTAGTTTAGGACAGACTTCATATTTTCAACAAGAGAATTCAAAGTTCATTTTCCTTTTTTCCCTCAGCAACTAAAGTTCTGAGTTTGATAATCTATTTCTTATTGATACATAATATTTTACATATTTACAGGGTACATTTGAGTTATAATCTATTTTAAATGATACCTTATTATAAAATCACTGATTTCTTAAATAAATCCACATAGTGAATGATCCTGCATGTATCCGCACAAGTACAGCTTGAACGAGTCCATCTTCCAGGGGCCAAGCACCACCTCGGGCATCTGTAGCATGAGCAGAACCCAAGGTCGCCTCTGGAGACCCTGTTTGCCCTGGGGGCAGGACAACAGGAGCTGGAAGGAGCAGGCTGATCCAATCCCTTTCGAGAGAGTTGAGTTTTGCCAACATACATGTTTTCTGTAGAAGAAACAGGAAATGGAGATACACGAAGAGATAAGACAATACAAATCACCAGTTGTGCCGCCCAGATCCTCGTTTCCGTGTACCGTTCCGTGCATTGTTCCTGTGCACGCACGCACGTCCACACTTTACCGCTCCGTGCATTGTTCCTGAGCACGTAAGCCTGCCCACACTTGAAGGAGGCACTCTCGAGTCCGTCGGGGCCTGGGACACCCCGCTGTTTTTGAAGGCCTGGAGTGTTTTTGTAAAGATCAGGAAATACCAAAACAGGACTACAGAAATGATGGTATCTATTGATATGTACTGACAAATGTGTAATAAAGATGTAATAAAGACGTGTACGTGTGGGCATACCTCCTCTAGGGGTGACACCCCAAGTTTAATTTTGAAGCTTGGGCCAGTGGTGCTTCCTTTCCCACAACCGCCATGATAGGTCCTCTATGAGATGTTATCATAGAATCCATGTTTCTTAGTGGCAGTAGAATACAACATCTCTGTCAACAAATATAATTCTACATTACTTTAATTGCTTGCATGGAAATCCATTGTATGTAAGTGCCATGGTACATTTAATAGATCTTCTCCTGGGACATCTACTTCTGATTTCTTTCATAGAATAGCACTCTTGTGAATATCATTGTACTTGCTGCTTTGCATGTTTCCTTCCTTCCTTAGGATGAAGACCTAGGATGAATTCTGAGAGATTTAATTGATGGGGCAAAATGTACTCACACATTTTTAAGGTTTTAAACTTTTCTGTCAGAAGCTGGTACTCTTGGTTGTCTGAAAAGGAAAGCAAGTCCTCCCATTCCAGGGTTGGATTTCGACTCTTTTCCTGTAAACCTTACTGCTTTTTTGTTTAATTGTCATAAAATGCCAACCACCACCAACAGGCCTATGTGAAGGGGCCCAGAGGCAGGAGGGCTGGGGTTAGGCACGGCCTTGGCCAGATGGGGAAGCTGGGTGCTCGGGATCAGGGTAAGCAGGTGGGGATGCTGTGAGTATAGATGCTGGGCAGGGAAGCCCTGCAGGGAAGAGGGAGCAGTAGGGCTGCAGTGCGTGTGGCCGTCCAGCTGGAGCAGAGGATGAAAACCGAAGAGTGGGTAGACTCTTGGGTGCCAGGCTTGAGTTGGGTGAATCCTGCCCTCATTGTACTGCATAAAGGGAGCTATAAATCCAGGCCTCCGGGATTCTTAGACCCTTCCAGTCCCTGTGGAGGGTCCCAGAGGCGGCTAATTGTGTCTCAGGCCCTCTGCTGTCCCTCCCTCTGTAAGTCTCACTCTCCTTTGCAGTGAGCTCTAGCGAAACGTCTATTCCAGTAGGACCAAATGGTTGAGGCCTCCAGAAAAGAAATCCAGTGAACACGAAGGGTTTGTCACACTAACCTGAGTCCCTTTCTCAGGTGGCCCACCTGGTAGACCAGCCTCCCAATTCCTAGCCAGCTGCAGGCTCCAGGCTTTTGCTCATTCAAAACCAAAATTGGGCCAGGCGAGGGGACTCAGGCCTGAAATCCCAGCACTTTGGGAGGCCGAGGCGGGCGGATCACGAGGTCAGGAGATGGAGACCATCCTGGCTAACACGGTGAAAACCCGTCTCTACTAAAAATACAAAAAATTAGCCAGGCTTGGTGGCGGGTGCCTGTATTCCCAGCTACTCGGGAGGCTGAGGCAGGAGAATGGTGTGAACCCAGGGGGCAGAGCTTGCAGTGAGCCGAGATCGCACCACTGCACTCCAGCCTGGGAGACAGCAAGACTCCGTCTCAAAAAACAAAAAACAAAAACAAAAACAAAAACAAAAACAAAAAAATTGAAGGCATCTGCCCTACTCAGGCCCCCATCTCTGTTCAGAGTAAACTCCTCCCTCCCTCTGCTTTTGCCCTAAGTTCTCTTTTCAACTCACCTAACATCTAACTTGGCCCTGCAGCTCTGATCCCCAAAACCCTCTCTACCTGTTCCCTCCCAGGCTATCCCTGACCAGCGTGCCAGGAACAAAGAAGTCATGAAAGCTGCACTCCTTACCGCTCTCCCCTGTCCTTCATCCTTCCACTTGGAATCTCTGTCCATCTACCCATCTCTGGCTACTGAAATCCTGTTCATGTTTCCAGGCACATCTCATACTCTGTCATCTTTAAGAAGTCTTCCCAGAAGCCCCATCGGATATTTTCGTGATAGGTGCCATATTTCCCTGTGTAATGTAGATTGCACCAGAGGGTATTTAATCCCCTGAAGGCAAGGACTATAACTTACTCATCTTCCTTTCCTGGGTTGGGAGAACCATCATGCCTTGTACCAGGGACACGGGTCCTGGCTCCGTGAATGAACAGAAACTGAGAGAAAAGGAGCTGATGATGAGTGAATGGAGGAGCCTAGTGAGGCACCGTTTACTCCTCAGTGGAGCAGTGTTGGTGGCTCCAACAGCTGTCTTTCGGAAGGATTTGGGACCGCATCCTGATCGGAAGGGGCTTGAAGCACTTTATAAAAGAGAGACAAGGACACACGTGAAACTAGAAGAAGGAAAGTGAGAGGAGAAAGGGCTGCAGAGAGGAGCAAGCCCCTTCCGTCCCCTTAATGGTCCTGCCAGTGCACGGGTTACCTCTCATTGCGTTTAATACCATCTGTTGTTTTTGTATTGTGAAATATTTTCCTTGATTAAATTATGTTGCGCTGTTTTGGAAAGAGAGCGTATTCAAGCAGGTGTCACTTCTGTTTCTTGCAGGCAACTATGGTCCTGAGCTCCGCACACTTCTGGTTGGGATTATTTCTGGTTTTTACTGCCTGTTTGATTGAAGATGTGGCGTGGAGAGCGTAAGTGTAAAAGTGAAGCGGGGACCCCACGTCTGGCTTTTCTGTCCCTAGAATTGTCTTTCCCATGAGCCCTGCTACAGGGTATGAGAATGACAGGAATTCGGGAGAAAGGGGTCTCCTGCCACATGCCAGAAATGAAAAAAAGGTTTTTTTTGTTTAACATGTGCTTCATCTTGATATGAAAATATAGACAACCATAGCAATAGGAAAATCGGCGGGGCCTGGCGGCGCATAGCTGTAGTCTCAGCTGCTCAGGAGGCCAAGGTGGGAAGATCACTCGAGCCCAGGTGTTTGAGGCTGCAGTGAGCTATGGTCGTGCCACTATACTCCAGCCTGGGCCACAAAGCAAGACCCTGCCTCTAAATAAAAAGAAACAGAAAGAAAAGAAAAAAGTACAGACACAAAAGAGCCGTGGGAGAAACTGTGAAGATCAATAGGGAAGTTGCTTGTAAGGCAGAGTTTCTAAGTACACACCCATTCCATCCAATTGAGAAAGTACGACTCAAAACTCATCTCTCTTCATATCATAAACTCAGTGCTAAACATGGCCTGGCTTCACTTCCCGTGCTTAGAGGGAAGCTATGTATAGGTGAGTCATTTAAAATTACAAGAACGAAGTATTCTTCATTTTTCCAGACAACTCAGAGTAGGAACGCTTTCAATAAAACTCTTCCAGAGCGAGCTCACAGGTCTATGAGGAAACCGGTCACAAAGATGGCACTATCATGTACGTTAAATAGGAAATCATTCATGTTCAATTTTGCTTTTATGTTTTAAAATATGTCATTTTCAAGATACCTTCTTACAATGTAAAAGAAGTCATTAAGTTCCAAGGTCATGTCAATTTTAATTTCATCCATGAGCAAAAGGAGGGGCTGCTCCAGATGAAATGGGACTGAGTTTTGGTTTGGTTTGACCCAGTTTCTCCTACAAATGGGTGCCAACTTCTCTGCAAACTGAGACTCCGAGCTCGGCTTTACTTCGGGCAAAACACAATTATTTGGGGGCTCTGAGATAGAGAAGTGAGACTTCAATCCACACCTTCCAGAAACAGACATCAGATTTCATTCTCAGCCCTCCGTTCCTCCCACACTCAATGAGAATTTTTCTTGCCTGACAGTTAAGGATGGCTTTTGAAAAAGTCTTCCTTTTGTCATTATCTTCACAACCGATGATACCTCATGCAGACCTAGATAGAGGGGGAAAGAGTATTATAACATGGATTTTCTTTTTTCTTTTTTTCCTGTTCATTAAGTTTTTTTAACTGTTAGAAAAATTAATTCTCATTTCTTAAATCCTTTGATTTACCATTACTTCCATTTTATTTGGTAAAACCATGTTCTGCAAATAGCAGAATCAGAATCCTCGGAAATGAAAAGACTACTGCCAGAAAAAAATATTTTCTTGATCTAATAGATGTACCATAAGAAAATATTAGTTCTGGCTGGGCGCAGTGGCTCACACCTGTAATCCCAGTGCTTTGGGAGACCGAGACGGGTGGATCACAGGGTCAAGTGGTTAAGACCATCCTGGCCAACATGGAGAAACCCCATCTGTACTAAAAATACAAAAATTAGCTGGGCGTGGTGGTATGCACCGGTAGTCCCAGTTACTCGGGAGAGTGAGGCAGGAGAATCGCTTGAACCGGGGAGGAGGAGTTTGCAGTGAGCTGAGATCATGCCACTGCACTCCTGCCTGGCAACAGAGCAAGACTCCGTCTCGAAAAAATAAAAAAGAAAAGAAAAGAAAGAGAATATTAGTTCCGTTATTTTGCTCTTCCAACCAATAGTCCCAATTGTGGCACAATCTATTCCCTTGCTGAATTTGTTCGAAATCTTTGTTTTGCAAAGATAAAGCAGTTCTAGATAAATGGAGAATAGTCTTGGCCACATCAGCTGGCCTTTTCTGTTTACAATGATTGAAAACTAGTAACATGATTATAAATTAGTTTATTTTAATTCAGCTATGTCAAATTAGTGTTATTAAAAAATTCTGTTGAGACTGTATATTTGCCGAAGACTTTAGCAATAGTCTCTTTCTTCCATCTGAAAGAGAATGTTTATACATGACAAAGTATCTGTGCCTCTTTGTCCGTTTTCTGGTTCTTTTCCAGTGCGTTCTGAGTAATCATTCCCTGTCACCACAAAGCAAATTATCTGGTCCCTCAAACAGGACTTGATTTTGGTTTCCCCTGGCACTATAAAATTAGCACCATTTACATTTTAACAAGGATAAATCAAATGACACTACTCCCAGCTTCACCATATGGAAAGAGTAAAAGTCACTCCGTTTCCAAGGAGCTTGCCAGCTGGGTCAGAGAATGAACCCGGGCTCTGCAGTGAAGGTGCTGGAGGGGCAAGCGGGGGAGGCTGAGGGCCATCCCTCTGCAGCAGGAGCTCTCGGCCACCCAGCACCTGGCACCATGGGCCCAGAACTCAGCTTTTCCTGGGAGCCAACAGCATCTCAGCTCTGGGCTGAGCCAGAAAGGCCCCTGCTGAATTCCAGAGGTGCTTTCTAAAATGGATTTGTGTCTTGTTTTATTTAGGGGAGCAGGGAAAATAGCGTATATTGGCTGTCAGCTGGAATATTTGCCCAAAGCACCTAGATGCTCAATTTGTAACATCTATTTAATATCTAAACTACCCTCACCCCTCTCCTCAAAACAGGACATTTTTCAGTTTATTGGCGCATTTTCCCTCTGATTGTGAGGCCCATATTATGTCTCGTATTATTCTCCAAACCCGAAATGCTTGTTTTTGAGGCAAGTAAATTCGGAGGCCTCTCGCAAAAAGAGAAAGCCTATTGTGAATCACTTACCTCTGAGAAGGCTACAGTGCTTCGTGGAGATTTCTCTTTCTGAATTGCAGCTTTAGAAAATGCTGTTGGCTGCTTCTCACCATGCGCTGAACAAAAATATTAATCCTGCTTGTCCCCAACCACCCATCATCGGATTTGAGTTGTCAGGTATCTACCGAGGCACGATATCTGTGATGCACCTTGGGGTTCCCAGAAGGGGTGTGCCTTCGTGAGTGGGCACAGGGGCAGCTGTGATGGCAGTACGTGGTGATGCTGGGAGAGCTTCCACCGGGGTGCTGCAGGCCTCTCATCTTGCCTTGGGCCCATCTTCAGGATGTTTTATTTTGTTCTGAACTTTGGTGGTTATCACTCTCTTTTGAAAGGGCTTTTAGGCCGGGCGCAGTGACTCACACCTGTTATCCCGGCACTTTGGGAGGCTGAGGTGGGCAGATCACCTGGGGTCAGGAGTTCAAGACCAGCCCGGCCAACATGGTGAAACCCTGTCTCTACAAAAATACGAAAATTAGCTGGGCATGGTGGCGGGCGCCTGTAGTCCCAGCTACTCGGGAGGCTGAGGCAGGAGAATGGCGTGAGCCCGGGAGGCGGAGCTTGCAGTGAGCCGAGATCTTGCCACTACACTCCAGCCTGGGCGACAGAGCGAGACTCCGTCTCGAAGGAAAAAAAAGGTTTTTAAATTCCAGCCCAACGCAGGCCTGCCTTTTCAAGTATATTTCTGTGAGCACTGAAGAAAGTGAGTTGCTCCATCTTTCTACATTTTCCCCATTTCTTTGCCCAGTTTCTCGCTTCCATTTCAGGACCTGAGCTGTTAAGAGTAAGAAAAGAGAACCAGAATGAGGTAATTCAATCACGTTTTCCATGAGGTCTGTCGACTTTCTGGATGAAGATCCGTTATTAGACTATCTTAAGTCAGATTTGGCACGCCATAAAATGCCTACACTATTGTCCTTTTAACCAAAATTTTCATGAGGAACCAAACCTATCTTTTATTAAAATAATTGATTGATTATATGTGATACCTGGCTAATGAGTATTTTTATTAGAAGCATGAAGTTTAAATTGCCCAGAACTATTTTAATATCCCTTCGCTTATATTCATCCAAAATGTTTACCGATGACAGTATGCTGAGGTGAGCTGCCATGTACCCACTCTCATCTAGGTGAAATTTGTTAGTCTTGCTTTATAAAAATGATATAAGCTCAAGGCCACTGAACACAGAGGAACCCGTTTCCTTTTATCTAGCTGTATCCCCTGTATTTTACCGTACATCAGCAATATAGTCCCCAATTCCAGAATGACTTCATTTCCTTATTATAATCCCAGATAGGCAGTTAAATGGAAATAAGGGGTAATGAGCAATTTCTATATACAAATGGGCCTTGATTTCTTTTAACTTTCTGACTTACCTAATTTCTTTTGCAGCACGTTGTATTTACGCTTCCATCCACGTTTAGAATTAAACATTTCCTTTTGACTTGCTATTCTTGCATACAAAAGAAGAGTCCAGGGAAAGAGTTTCAGAAAAAAAAAAAAAAAGGATGGAAAGTTCAAGATCCTAAAACAATCTATTTCTTTTAAAAGTCTCTGAGAACCTGGAGACACCCTTAGGTATATCTGAAAACTCACAGACAACTCTCACACTCACGAGTCAGTAGCCAGCACCCCAACTCTGTCTCTTCTGTGCTCATCCAGCCTCTCGATGTGGGGTTAGATGAAGCAAGCCTGGGCCACTAGGCAATAAGCCATTTACAGATAAGGGGCTTACTCTGTCACAACTGCTGCTCAGAACACGCCAAACTCCAGCTCCTGGTGAGACCTAAGTGACATGCCAGTGGCTAATGCTTAACAACTGACTTTATAACCTATACATATTAATTTTAGACCCCTCACACATAGCCTTTAGATGGGCGATTTTAGAATCAGTTTTTCTAATTCAGGCGTTATTAGATAAAGGTGCTTGAGAACAGGGTTTTAAATTGCCAGCATCCCTTTACTCAGGTGCTATTAAATACACGCAGAAAGAGAAGTTGCATCATCCCCAGCATTGCAATTTAGTGTTTTCCAATAGCGACAAAGTTCCCAGGCTAGCTCACAGGGGCTAGCCTGGCGGAAATAGTATCAAATTGCTGAGTAACTCTTGAATATGGGCGCAGTTTCATCCCCTGAGAGCACACACAATGCCTGGGAGCACTGAGATGCTCAGACCATTGCCCTCTAAGGCCGTGTTTTGATTGAGTGAAAACCGGCAGCTTCCACAGTGGGTTGGATTCTGACCTAAGCTGTAGGTTCCCAGTGCCCAACCTTCCTATTCCAGCCTCGCACTTAGGAACCCCGTTTCCTCCCGGCCCGGGAAATAACAACGGGGTCTGTTCTACCCCTGTGCAGGGGAAAGGGGAGAGGGAGGATGATGGTGGAGAGAGGGATCCTGGAAGAACCAGCCATGCTGCTCATAGTAACCAGGCTGCTCTAGGACCCATGCAAGCCCATGGCTCAGGGCAGGTGGGGCAGGCACTTGGTGGCCTTGTTGTCAGTCTAACCCCAGAAGCCCGGGAGATAAAAGACCACTTTCGGGGCCCCACATATTACATAATAATGAACAGGGTACATTTTAACATCGTTTTTGACTCTCTTTTCTAGCAAACTGTTAGATGTTTGCTCATTTATTGTTTAAATTAAAATTCCACAGGCTCTGCTTTGAACTGCAGTGTTTTATCAATCCTGAGTCTCGGGACACTGTTTGATGGAATTAAGGCATTCTGTGTTAAAGCCTGTGTGGCTTTCCGTTGTTTACTTTGGGGGAAAGGATGTCAGGGGCATAGACAGTGTCAGTGCTAATACTCCATTATAGATTAACTTGGAGTGTCGGGAGATGGCTCACGTTATCTCAACAGGCTTTCTCTCCTTGAAGGTGGAGGGTGGGTGAGGTGGCACAGGATTCTGCAGGAAGAGCCCACATCTTCGGAATGTTCCCACGGCACTGTTTTCATTTCTGGGCAAAGGTGCTCAGTTTTTGTTCTCATTCTATCTTTCTAGTACCTCGCAGGATCCTCACATGTATTTATATTGAAATTAAGCTGATGCAAAGCTTTTCAATCTGGTGTGTTACTAGATTATGAGTCTTTTCCCTTTACGGTTTTTCCCTCTTACATAACCTGTATCTTGTTAAATGTCTTTTCACCTCGACTCTTTCCAACTAGCAGCTAGATTGTTTCCAACTAGTAGCTCAATTTTAGCTTTGTTTAGTTTCCATTTTATGAAGATTCTGAGATCAGCCAGTTATTGTGAGGTATTCATCTCAGTTTCATCAGTAAAAAAGTAGCGGGAACTCTTCCTACCATTCAACAAGAGTGGGCTGTCCAGGCCGCGGGTTATTTCACACGTTGTATTAATGCCACTGAGGCCTGCATGTGTGGACTGCAGTGGTGAGTTGTTGCCAGAGGAAGATGGGAAACCTGTACTCGGAATTTGTGTTGACTCCACGTTTGAAGCCGATAGTTTTGCATCCAGACTATGCACTCTAGCATCCTAGGCCCCATGGCTGCCGTGGCAGTGGCTCTTTTCACACTAAAGAGGGCGGGAGGAAACTCGCCAACCCCTGGGATCTCTGACTGTAGTTGGGGTCCTTGGACCAGGCAGCCAGTGCCTGTTCACTGAGGTGAGGGTTTAAAGTGTCTTCTGAGTTTTCAGTTCCTGCCAAGAAATGCTTTAGAGGCAGACCCAGGGTCTTTGTGAACCCCACCCAGTCTTTGAGCGGCTGGGCTCCTCGGCAGACTTCCAGTTCTTTGCGGGGTGGGGGTGACTGTTGACATGCATGATCCAGGTCTGGTCTGCGGCACTCAGGATGCCTCCGGGCTGTGGAGATGGAACCCAGGCCATGCATGGAGACTGTGAATGCTCCGCCACTTCCCGAGCCTCCGCCTCCACCAAAGGGCATTTGGCTGTGGCCTGAGAGGGGAACGGCCTGTCTTTCCCAGCTGTGTCGAGTCTCTATGCCATGTTCTTTTTGTCTTTTCCTCTCAATACAGAGCCAAGCACACCTGCAAAAAGACATTGCTGGAGGAGGTGCAGGAGCTGGAAACCAAGTCTCGAGTCCTGGGAAAAGCGGTGCTGCGGGATAGCAATGGAAAGAGGTGGGGAAACTCCGTCCCTGTCCGCACAGAACCCATGTTCTCCCGGCCCTTTTCCCTTCTTCCTTCCTGTATTTCTTTTTCTCATCTTGGTTTTCGATGGGAGCACAGTATGCTCAGGTTTAAGAATTTTGGTTATTCTCAGATTTAAATCACACTCTCTCAGTGACCACATGAAACCTAAATCTCTGAAAGTCTCCAGGTAAGACTGGGGGTTTTACTGGGATTAGAGGTGAACGAAACAACCCATGTGCAGCAAGTCGACGTTGTGGCTGATTATCTCAAGGTGGAAGAGTCCAGGGTTAGCAGTATTACCACTGAGGAGTTAAAGCCAGGCCTTCGGATTTCAAACCCAAGTATCGTACCCAAGCATGAGTATCTACGGTGAAGGTTTGCGTGTGAAATAATGCACGTCGTTATTCATGTAAACCTTGTCACATTCCACTTCAGCAGATCTACATGGGGGAGTAGTTTTTAGCGTTAACGTTTTCTGCTGGGGGTGAAAGGAATTGTGTGAACTCCTGGAACTGACACTGCTGCTTGCTCACCTAATTCCTCCTGAACGCGAGCCTGCCCTTCCCCACAAGGAACAGATGGGCCTGAGCATAGTTTTTGTTTCATCACAAGATGTTACAATGTCGTTAGAGTGCACTGTGTTAAAATCTACGTACCATCAAGGGAAATTTCTCTGGGCCTAAGAACAATTTGCAGGGTACTTGAAAGCCATTGTTCTATTAGGGACATGGAATATCTATAACATTCTGAGTACAACTCTCCTATAAATGCTTTGAAGGAAATCAGTAACTAACTGTTCATGAAACAAACATCAAGAAATCAAATACTTACAGAGATCCTCACTTTGTGTTTTGCTTTATATTGTGTTTATTTGCACCATCTTTTAGAGCAATGAAGACAAAGCAGTTTTTTTGGTTAAAGAAAGAGAATGCAAACATTTTGAGAGGCTTTCAAAATACAACTTGGAACAGATTTTAGGAAAGGGATGATGGCATAGAGTTGAAGTTGTGGTTTTGTATTTATTTATGAGTTATTTTTTAGTCAGTTTATCCAGCATTCATTTTATAGCAGCTATGCTAGTCCACTTCTGGTCCTAAATCTCTGTGGGCTCTCCATTTTCCATAGAATGAAGTTCAGAATTCCAGGCAGACAAGTTCAGAACAATACCCTGTGTGAACCTGACTTCACGCCTTTGCTCGTGCTCTGTCCACAGTCTGAAGTGCGCTCACATTTCTTTCTGTCACTGTCTTTTTCACATATTCAGGAGTCAGAGACATCAGTCTTGTTGACATCAGTCAACAGGACGAAAAGCACTGTCTTCCATAAGCTTAAGTTTGTGAATACGTAGGGATGGGGGCTGATTTTACCGCAGATGTACATGTAACCACTATGCGTGGTTGAGGCTTGTTCAGGGCTGTTCTATCCGTCAGACAGCCGAGGCACAGGGCTCAGAACCTGTTCGAGTTTCAGGGACCTACCATGCTCTTTGAGACTTGAAAAAAAAAATACATTGATAGGCTCCAAAAATTAGGGAGCAGGAAATTAATTTCATTTCTGCATAATGAAATTAATAAATATTTAAAACCCTGTAAAATGCATATCCCTCTTAACCGTTAAGTTTAGTAAGCACAGTAAGTTTATTATACTTAGAAACAACTTGCAGGCTCTCTTATATCTCAAGTTACACAATGATTGCTCAGGGGGCGTAAGTCATTTCTAAATAAAATGAGAATTTCAGAGCAAAATTCTCAAACTCCTTTCAAACATTTTACAGGAAACCATTACGTACAATGTGGTGTGAGAATGTGCTTTAGCGTGTTTGTTCTGATGTGAGGAGGGGTCATCTGGCTGGAGCAGTCAAGAAAGGCTTCATGTTGGAGATGGACGAACAACAGGCCTTTGAGGATGGGAGGGTCTTGAATGGACAGAACTGCCGAGAATCTGATTTGGACAGAGGGAGTGGCACATGCCAAGGCTCAGGTCCAACACTGTGTGCAGGGACCAACCACCCAGTTTGGAGGGCCACGTGCATTGTGCAGAGATACGGAACGTGCGTTTGAATTCTGGCTTTGCAACCTACCGGTGAGGCCTTGTGCAGGATATTTCATATGTTGAGATTGTCTCTTCATCTGTCATAGAAGAAGGCTAATATTTTCTTTGGGGGATTAGGGTTCGTGAAACATGTACAATGCAGCATATTACCTGACCCATCTCGGGTGCGTAAAAGGTCAGCTGCTCGTCTTCACTTTGGCAGGAGAGTTATGAGCTGTCAGCCTTGAATTGTATTGACGGGAGTCGTGGGCTGTCAGCCTTGAAAGAGTGTGTGAGCCCATTTTTGCTTGTTGTTGATCAAACGAATGTTATTTTTACAATTCACTGATCCTGTTCAAAATTCACTTGTAAACGTTCAAATGGATATTAGAAAATAAGAGTTTAAATGTGGCTTCCTACCTTCTACATTTAAAAGTCTTATTTTCTGGTTCCTTGTAAATGTCACTTTGTAGTTCATGTGATGGTGTGTGAGTGTGTGCGTGTGCACACGTGCGTGGGTGGGTCTGCATGCTCCCACTTGGTTGCACCATTTCCTTTTCTTCTATCCCAGCATCTTACTTGACCCTGGAATTCCTAGCCAGAACATAGTTTGGGGACTCCGCAGCTTATCCTCCTCAGTAACCCCCTCCCATCTGTTTTTCTCACTTCTAATTGCTCACAGATTCTCTGGGTGGTCCATCTGCAAACTAAATAATGGTGGCGTGCCGCTCTCTGCACGGAGACTGTGCTGTCCTGCTTGGCCTCCTGAGCTGCCTCACAATTGTTCTTTTACCACCTTTGCTTTCTTCTTTCACACCTGCTTAGATTCCTGAGGGGTGGAGGGCAGAGACTTCTTCTCCAGCTCTGTCCTCCCTTCTAAAGATCTTATAGACCCCGCCTCTTTGAGGGGTCCTGAGTGTTTTTGTCTCTTCTCACCCCTCCCTGTTCCTTCTTTCCTACCCTCATCTGATCTGTCAGCTGATTTGTGTATCTCTCTAGCTGTTACCCGCACAGGAAGCTCTGTCAATATTTGCTGACTGACTGGCTGGCAATACCAAAGTCTAGTGCGGTGGTAGTGAGGAAAGGACGGTGACTTTAGCGCCAGATGAGCTGACACACTGGTGCCTGGTGTGTCAGCTCGTGTGTCACATGTGCACAAAGTGGCCACAGAGAGATGCTGTCAGTCACCGGGCCTCCAGGGAGGGACAGTTTATCTCATTGCTTAAGAGTACAGCTAACATAGACTCACACATGGAGAGGCATTTGTGATGTAAGATTAGCAAATCCTATCCTTGCAAAGATGCACAGGCCAGGAGCCCGTCCTCCCTGAAGCCCGCCGTCTCTCCTGCCTTCCTGTGCCAGCCAAGCCGGGGCACCCCTGGGGGTCCTCAGCATCCCTAACCCCAGGGGCTTACTCAGCTCAGTCCTGACAGCATTGCTTAGGGCCCCTTAAGGGACATTCTGCCAGGTTCTGAAACCCAGGTCCAAGTCACTGGCAAATGTTCTAGCAGTTTTTCTTAGGAATGTAATCACAGGAAGTAGAACAAAAAAAGTCTTTCTGCATTAATCTTTTTAGAAAACCCTCTTGTGCCAAATTCACAATTACAATTTTGAAATTGTAGCCAGGGATTCTAAGTTTCTCTCTGCGCCTTGTATTCATTCAATAAAATATTTTCATCTAACATTTTGTTGAACTTGTCTAAGCCCCATACGTTTATACTATTTTGATAAAGTTAAATTGTCATGAACACGCTTCTGCACTTTCTCATCAGTAAATCTTGTCTCCCAGAATCAACCTGTGGAATTGATACTTTAATAAGCCTGTTCTCATGAAGAAGCAGATAATGAGAAAGGGTGAGATGAGGGAATTAGATATCCAAAAGCAGAGTGAAGAAAGTGCTTTAGGGAGTGAATAAAAATGTGTGTCTTCATTTTAGTTTGTTCTTCTTGAAGGAGTGTTTTTCACGATGTGGTGTTTGTGCACCTCATAGACACTGGACACGTGACGATTTGGGTTGATCCGAATACCTTTTCCCAAACTCTTCCCAGTAATCCCTACCCGGGGAAGCAGGAAGCCCCCGTACCGCACAGGAAATAGTCTACCCTGCATATCTTTATCTGAGTGTCTCAACAACGAGGAGCTAAATGGAAGAAAATTCCTCGTCTTTAATGTCTTGGTAATATCTTTCCCTCCTTTATTCCTGAAGTGTAAGCCATGCAAATTTCTTTCCTGGTGAAAGAAAATCTATCTTTGGCCACTCACCTTTACAGATATAACATAAACCAATGACGGCAGGTAAGATGACAGACTTTTGTTCCTTAATGTATTTTGGAGTGAGATAAGCGGTTGCCCTGTAATATTTTAGGTACAATGGCAAGCAAGAAGGAAAAGGGGGAATATATTTGTTGAAAACATCTAGTTTTTGAGGTATGCGTAGCCTGAATAAACAAGGAGAGCTTGTTCTATTTCTAGATCGCCTTTCACTGCCTTCATCCCAGTTGGTGGGAGTGGGGTGGGGTGGGCCCGGGGCTGGTTTGCTCCATTGTCAAGGGCAAACAGACCCAGCTGCTGCCCCTGCCTTCGCCAGGAAGGCGGTGGATTATCTTCCCCTTAAGTGCTTTCCCTGGGTGTAGCTTACGCTGTGACTTTGGTGAAGGTAGCTGTGTGGCTGGTCTTAAACCTTCTGGCGAGCCATCGCCTCGTCTCCCTTCAGTTTTGTGTTCTGTGAACATGTGTGCATGGCCCTGTGACCCAGGGTAATCTGGATGGCCCATCACCGCCAGGGAATTCAGGAGGGAAACCTGACTCTCTCCTCCGCCCAGGCGCCGCGGCCGCTTGCTCTGCGGCTTCCATTTCATCCAGGCTGCCTCTAAACAGACAGGGCCCTGGTCACAGCCTTGGACAGGTGGCCAGGGATCCTAATGGAGCTCTCTCTGCCGAAGAATAGGGACGGAGCCTGAAGCACAGCAGCAGGATTTCAAACAAACCCAAGATTGTTCCTCCACTCCAGGCAGTGCTCTCGAGTGCTCCTTTGAAAACCAGTCGTATTAAAGAAACTAAACAACACAAACTCCCCAATGCATTCTGAGTGAGTACTCAACTCAGAAATACCTGCCATGCTTTGATCTTTAACGGAAATCCTTTGATCTTTAAAACAGCATTGCGAAAGCTGTTTGGAATCATCACACCTCTAAGTCAAAACCAGTCCCACTGCCAGGCTGAGCGTGCCGCTGAGCCAGCCTGAGGCAGGAGGGACGCTGGCCTTTTGCATGGGACTACGACGTTGCCTGCGTTAGGACACTGTCACTTTAGGAAATCAGTTTTCTCACAGTACTGGCCGTTGGCAGTGCACGTGTGGTGCGTCTTCCTTTTGCTTTCGCCCCACCTCTCCCACGCTTTCCTCCTAAAATACCTATTGTTGACTTTTTGCTAGCCAAAAGGATAGGAAATGAGGGCATCATTTCAGCAAACCTCTCCAGGCCAGGTGGCAAATGTCTGCTTCCAGCACCTGGTGGAGATTTATTTTCCTTCCAGCTGCATTTTTTCCACGACTCTGTCATGAAGCAGAGAAACGAGTGCAGACGGTGAA